AAAGATGCTATACTTTTCTTTTTCTTTTTCTTTTTTTTTTTTTTTAAGGGAGGACCCCAAGTCTCCCCCTCTCTCCCAGTACATTGTTTGGTTAATGCATGCTAGTTTTATGATTGGAATACATTGTAGCCCGGCCACCCAGACAGAGGCATTGACTGCTAATATTAACCAAGAACAATAGTGTGGCCATACTGACTGCAGTGAGGATTACCGAACATAATGGGGCCCATCCAAAAATAATGCTAATACAGGACAAGCAACAGGAAGCAGCAGTAGACTCAGCATTGCTCGGCTCCCAGACAAACCATGGACTTACTTCACACAATGGCAACTTCAGCACATTATGTATTCACAGGATACTCATTATTCCAGCAGGCTTGCCAGATCAGAGATCTGCCTGGTTCACTGGATGCTTAAGCGTATGCATAGTTGGGATAGCGGTACTTTTGCGTCCTTCATCATTTGGCAGGAGGGTGGCAGTTGTGTCGTAGAGAAGGTCTTAACTTCAGTTACCAGCTTGGCTTGTGCCAAGGCAGAATGGGGGAGGGGGGGGAAGTCTCTCCTGGAAGCTGTGTTAATAGTGTTGAATTTGTTTTCGTGTCTTCTATGTGGCCATGAAGCGTTTATCTGCACTAACAGCAATGAGGAATCTACTCAAAATGAACACTAAAGGCACAGCACGCTCCGTTTTCATGTGGGCATATTCTGATGAGGCTCTTGGCTGGGCTGCTGCTTGAGGCTCAGCCCAGCGCTTGGCCACGGACTCTGAGGCGGGAGATCGTTTCAGCTTAGACTCCATTTATATACGCAGGGTTGAGAGAGTAACAGCTTCTTAGGGTGTTGCCTTACCCTTACATAGGCTTTCCAAAGAAGAGCTTCCTGATGACATTGCATTCAACAAAGGGTTAAGGAGTTAGATTTTTTTTTTTTTTTTTTCTCCCCTTCGTTTCTCACATAGGTCCATATCTCTTCTGGATGAGGAACCAGTTGCCTTCAAATCCTTTGAAGGAATATTCTGTTGTCAAAGTTGACTGGCTGTCCATGGGATGGTGTAGTGATGTATAGAGTCATCGTGACTTGTCATGTGGCAACAGGGATACCCAAGTGAGGGTCCTCATGATGTTTAGAGGAAGTGGTCTTGGGTCTACCTTTAATTCTGCTCAGAGATGCCCTCCTCCCTGGCCCTTGGACACTTTGAAATACTCCTCAGTTTCCTTCTTCCCTATCTCACCCCTTTCAAGCTGAGGGGAGGAAGGATTGCTGGAGCTCTTGGCAATTTGCTGTGGCCTGCTGTGACAGCGTGCCAGTCTCCTAGCCTTTTTCCCTAGGACATAGGCAGGGTGTGAGCAGTGTTTTCAGACTCATCTTCACAGCTGTGCGTGGCTGGTGGAGCGTGAGGAGAACATTGCTGGGCTTAACCTGCTCTCCTTGTTTGGCAGAGGAGGAGCCGGCGCAGCATTCGGAATGCAAACTTCCCACTGCATTTGTCTAGTCATGGTTTCACATGCTCAGCAAAGTGCTTGCATGGTTTAACCACAAGGATAGAAGGGAAAGAAGTTTGACTAGTTGCAACCTCTTTCAAAAAGGAGGCAGTCCTTTCGCTAATGAGCCTGATGTTTTAATCTTGCTCTGTCCCACTGACTTGCAGAATGCCTTTAGAAGCCAAAGTACAAAAATACTTCTTTTGGGTGGATGTCTGGGTGAAGGGAGGGAAGAAGGTAATAAAGCTGAGAGCTTTAAACACCTGCTTATCTGGAGCTGCTAGTATTTCATTCAAATAACCAGAAAAGAGGTTGTGTTGCCCTTTCAGACTTCAAAAGGGACAGTTTCCCTGGATTTCAGGGTCTTCACAGTGTTTTCCAAGTTGTATTATCAATGGATCAAGACTAAATCGTGGTGTCTTACTGTGGAAAATGGCTCTCACACTTTGTTGCTTTCTTTGTTTTTTGGATTGTGAATGTAGGCATTTCCATCCTCTTGTAGCTTAACTTATAGGAGTTTTGCTTAAATTTGGCCGTGCCACCTTTCAGTCCTCTGGGCTGATTGGACTGTGGATGTTCTGTACATTGTGCTGGCTTGCCATTCCTTTCGAGCTGCCTTTCCTCTCAAGCCAGAATCCTTGCCTTCTGGTCAAGCTCAGGTTTACAGTGGCTAATTGGGTGTGACTCTGGAAAGTTGACTGGTGCCTTGTTGCCTAGGACATTGCTTTGATGGAGTAAGGTGCATGATGTGGAATTCTTGTGTCTGGAGATATATATATTTATTCAAAGATGGGCAGAGGTCATCTATGGGCATGGGAAAACTTAAACCTCTGCGCTGTAAGTAGTCATTCCTGAGATATCTGAATTGTTGATCTATAGAGTGGGGATGATATGCACTTTTAAAAAATCTCAACAGTGCAGTCTTTGCACAGAACTGCTTTTTGAGGGGGAGGAATTGGCTAGAGGTGTGCGATGGATTGTTGAGGGAGGCTTGCTACTGTTGTGGGGCTGTGGATTTCTGTGGGTCTTTTCTTTACAAGTGTCCCATCTTGAACACAAAGTCTTGTCCTTTCTTTGCCCCGTGCTGAGAGGGACAGAGCCAAGAGATTAAACTGCCATTCTTTGTATCATCCCTTTTCAGGACAGGGATTCTTCATTTAAAATATTCAGATGAGGTGAAAGGGGGCACATAGAAACAAGGGAATTGCTAGGGTAGGTCTATTCCCTCTGCATTTTGTTTCCATCCAGTTAAGCAGCAGCGTCTCCTCTCTTTAAACAAACTCCTGTGTGGTGTTGGCAAGTGGTCACACAAGTTATCTAGCAACAGTAGCACTCAAAGCTAGGATTCAGCCTTTCCTTTCCTTAAGGGCTAGGTGTGTTGGTAAACAGTCCTGAGAACCAACCGGGAACTGTTGCTATGAGTTTAGACAAAATATCTTCCAAAACAATTATGCAAGGCAGAAAGGAAAACATCCTTAACTTTATTGGAAGTAGCTCTAGTTGCCATAATTCATTCTCTATATCATAATATTTTTTTTTTCAAAGCTTGCAGTAACATGTTGTGCTTGTGCTTCTCTAATGTTGGTAATTAAACCAGTGAGGAAGCACCCAAGATAGTGCAATCTATATCTAGAATATGGCTCAGGAGTTTTATTCTGGTTTTGTTTGGGTGTTTGTTTTTACCTCTGACTTCTGTAAAGACTTCTTAAATCTGCTTTAAACTATGTTAAATGATTGTGTTTGTCTTTTATTTTATTTTTAGAGGGGTTTTTTTTTTTCAAGTTGACAGACTTGGTCTAGAATAGTAACAAATAGCATGGAATTCTTATGAAATATTAACCAAAAATGGTTTGGGCCAATGGAGCCTCTGCATAGAAGTTTGGGCGCATGTCTTGGCTTGCCCAGCTTTGCTTACTTTTTGAAGCATTTTCCCACAGTTATCAGTGAACGAAATGGAATCCTAGTCTGCTTTGAATATGAAACATATTTAGGCTATATTCCAAGCCGGTGTCCATCACAAACTAGGTTTTCATTCAGAGGCTGCATGCTGTGTCCAGTCGTGAGAAAGCAGTCTGTTTCAACTATGTTTTCTTTATTTTCCTTCTTCTTTTTTTTTTTTCTTCTCTCCTCTTAAGGAATTTGCTGTCTGCCTTATATTTGCATCTTGTAGCAGCTTACTCTCAGAACTGTATTTTGGTTTCTGTTACAGAAAAGGTGTTAAGTGCTACAAACTACAAATGAGCAGACTGTGACTGAGCGCAGATACAATTAAGAAGAAATAAACCTTACGATACACAGCTTTCATGGCAAAGCATCAAAGCCCTTCGTGGAGAGTTTTCATCTGTTCTATTCTTGTTCTGTTCACCAGAAAGATGTTACGTTTATTACCTCACTTATAGATATTACACTTTTTACTTTTCAAGTCTTATTTTCTTATTTTTCCTTAGTTCTTTCTTTGGGGGGGGAGGTGGGGGGATGTTTTGTTTTGGTTTTGAATTATTCTGTAAGTTTGGATGTGGCTGGCTGAATGGCAATTTTGAAAGATACAGCCTGAATAATAACATCTCGGAGTAGAGCTGGGGGAGGAGAAGATGTTTTAATGGCTCTTGTTCTCAAGTTAGGATTGAAGATAAAGGTGGCTTAGATGTAATAGCTGGCATCTTTCCAACCCATGGAGTCACTTCAGTTAGTTTATGCTTATGATTGTTATTACTGGAGTGCTAGAGAGCTCATTGGCAGATGAGTGCGTCTGTAAATGTGACACGGGGTGGAGGGTGCATCTTCCCTTTCCCTGCTCTCCCAAATAGTCTGATTCTAGCTTTTGTTTTACAATGCTTCTCTCTCACCCCACCCCCTTCCCGTATCCATCAGTTCTTCCCTCAGTTACCTGATACTTGTGGGAGCTTCGATGGCCCTCATGCAGACAAAGCTTTCAAAGGGGGTGCTGAAAAGCAAAGTCCCTAGAGATTGCGCTGTCAAGGCAGAGCACAGTAATCTTAGCAACACTTCTTGCTTTCAGGGTGGCTGGGGGAAGGGACATCAAGACTACTTTTCTGTAACTAAAATTCTTTTGAAGCAGTTTTTGAGGGTGAGGGTTTGGTTTTGGGTGTTTTGGGTTTGTGGTTTCTTGGGGGGTTTTTTTGATGCTGCTATGCTAGCCCGGTGTTTTCAGTCTTCCATGTGCAATTCTTCCACACATGCTTTATTGTGGCTACAGCATAGTGTCAAAGGCTGTATTTCCTGGTTAAGTACATAAGATGCATTAATGATGACAAAGATGAGCTATCCAAGGTAAAAGGTCTTCTAAGTCAGACTTAGTAGCTTATGGTGTTTCAAGAAGATCATGTTTGTCTCAAGTATAATCTATTACCTATTTATGTTTTCAAGTATTCCATTTTAGGGCAGAGACCAGGATTTTTCTTTTAAATTAAAATTGTTGGGTCATTTTGGGTTTGTTTTGTTTTTCTTACGGTTGTGTGTGGTTTTAAAACTAATTCTTCTTTCTTTTTTTTTTTGCAGAGATCCTACACATTGCTTGTTGAGGCATGGGATTACAATGATAACTCTACTAGTAAGTATTCATTCCCTGGTTTACTTAGTTCAGACACCTTGATTTCCTGTCTGTTGAAAGGCCTTTGGTAGTCTAACCAACTTACTGTGAAGTAGGGCATGAGGAGAGGGAAAAGCTCTTCCTCAGACAATTCAGAGCAACTACTCCGGGCTCTGCAGCAGCCTGTCTCCCTCATATTTCCTGTAGAGGGTAAGTAGCTCCCTCATCTAGGCACCAACAGTTTGATGCCTAAAAATAGATGCTGTTAATTCTTTCTTTCTTCTTAGGGAGAATAAAAGCCCAGGGGTTTCTTCAGGGTTTTTTGTTTAGATTTTTTTTAATTAGGAGTGATATTCAGAAGCCTAAGTCTTTTTGACTTAGGACCTCTCTATAAACTATGTACTTATCAAAACTGAACATGCTGCTTTAAAAAAAAATAAAAATCCATAAGACTTGGTATAGTTATTCATCTAATGACTACAGATGAGAAACAGGACTGACTACGAGGTTTTCCTCAGGAGCTGGATGTCTAGGGATTTATATTCAGGGGCTGAAAAATATTTACCAGACACAACGTGGTAGAGCTGTCTGGAAATCAAGGGTGGGAATCTTTTGCCTGGAATGTCATTGGTTGGTTTCAGAAACTCTGATAAGCTTTTCCTGTTGGCTGGAGGAAGCTGTATAGAGTCTCTCTGCATATGAACTGTTCTACTTATTGCCTACTGTTACTGAAGCAGGTGGGCAAAATTAGCTCTATTTTCAGTCTAAGGCTTTAATAGTGTGTGGTAAAAGCCACAGGAGAAAGTATGAATCTGAACTCATAAACCTTTTGTTGACACATCAAGCCTTTTTCCTCAATGAGGAATCAGCAGCACTGTGGCCTTTCTTACACAAATCTTGTAACAGCTTCTTGTAGTCTGCTTTGGAATGGCAGGTGACAGCCACACAGTAATGAAATGGACTCCATGCTTCATGAAAGAAAGTCCTTGTAGCAGTGTGCACAGTGCTGTGGCTGTATGTTTTAACTGGTGAAGAATACACAGCTTGGGAATGGCCTTTGGTTCTGGGAACCTTTCTGCACAGATATGCTCTTTATTTTTTATTTTTTTTAATATACATAGGGTGTCCTATTAGTTCTTAGTTCTAGAAAATAAGTTGTCCATTGCAGATTATTCATGTGACCTGTCTGTGTTGGCCACGATTTGCTTTATAACCAGCCACATTCAACACTGTTGTACTACCTGTGATTTCAAGCCCTAATGCAGCACAGCCATGGAGCAGTGTCTGGGAAACTTCTTGGCTCTTGACTATGGAGTGTTTTATGGAGGAACAGAAGATTGCTACAGCAGCAGAGTTGTATTAAAAATGGAAGATGCCTGAATTCAAAATGAAGGTCTTGTTTACAGTAGGATCTGAGAGTTTTTTCAGTCTGGGTCTCTGCCACTTTTACTATTATTAGAGCTCATCTTTTTTCATGAAACAACTGCATTTCCAAAGCTACACAATGAACCCTTTCTTTGCTTTTATGTTCTGGAAGTCCAATTGTCTTAAGACAAAATTGCCTCATTTCTCAGCAGTGCATTTGACCAAGTGCAGA